GCCAAATGAAAGAAACCATTACTCCTCTTTCATAAATTTATTTTTAAAAATGTAAACTAATCTAATCCACAGTGGCAAATAGCATATCAGTGGTTACCTAAGAAATGGAAGAGGCAGGGCCGGGCACAGTGGCTTATACCTGTTATTCAAGCACTGTGGGAGGTCAAGATGGGTGGATCACCTGAGGTCAGGAGTTCAAGACTAGCCTGGCCCACATGGCAAAACCCTGTCTCTACTAAATATATAAAAATTAGCTTGGCATGGTGGTGGGTGCCTGTAATCGCAGCTACTTGGGGGGCTGAGGCAGGAGAATCACTTGAACCCGGGAGGCGGAAGTTGCAGTGAGCTGAGATTACGCCACTGCACTCCAGCCTGGGTGACAAGAGCAAAACTCCATCTCAAAAAAAAAAAAAAAAAAAAAAAGAAATGGAAGAGGCAGTAGGCAGTAAGGAAAGGTCAGAGAGAGGAAGAGGTATGGGAAAATGTTTGGAAGTGATGGATGTGTTCTTTATCTTCATTGTGCTGATGGTTTCACAGGTGCATACATATGTGAAAACGTATCAAATATGTGTTATTTTATGTCAATTAATTGTTGTAATTGACAGTTACAGTTGTTATTAAAAAAATGTAACCTCAGAGATCAGAAACCTTAACAGTTATAGTTGCTCTGCTATCACCTCCCAAACAGCAAGTGTTTAATCAATGCAAAGTAGAGGGAAATACTTGTGGGCCAAGGGAGAGACCCATTGGATCACACAGATTACGAATGCAGATTTAAAGTACTGCAGAATTTGGATGGGGTTGAGAGAAAGAGCGGGCAGGAGGTCCTCCAGAAGAGGGAAGTCCAAATGTGAGCAAAGGCACAATGCCTTGCATGGAACAGGAAAATATGCATGCAATGAGAACTCATGGCTATCGTGTATGAAGGTGCCTACAATGTGCCAGCCACTACTTTAGGCATTCTACATGCTTCATCCCATTCATGCTCCTTCAAGAACAGATACTATTGTCTCCATTTCACAGGTGAAGAAATTCTGGTTTTGGTGGAGTGTTCACCGAGAGCTCTCACCACCAGAGCCTTCACCACCAATCAGAGCCTTTACCACCAATCAGTTCTCTATTTGTCACATTAAATACTAAACTCTACTTTAATTTGCATATCTTATGACTTAAAGTTTACAGGCTTAGAAAGGTCAAGTAACATTCAAACTGAGGACTGGCCCACTCACGGTCTATGCATTCTCTTTCTGCTGTGCAACACTGCACCCAATTAATGCAAGCAAAACTCCTCGTTAAATTATGTGCAAGTGCAAAAATATTCAAGTGTTTATAAATGCCTTTCTTCCCAATTTATACAGCTAGATATGGGCGTAGATTTTAATGTTTCTCCAGCACGGTCTGTAAGTCTCTATGTGGTATGATCATCCACGCTGATGACCTGTAGAAGTTGAATCTCCTCCTCCTGGGAGGGTGGCGAAGTGACAGACACCACTGTGAAGCGGGGAAGGAGTATGCATGCATGTTTACATACACAGAAACGCTGGGGAACTAAATACACATACGGCTGCAACAACACATACAGCTGGAAGTATTTCCTTTTCCCTGCCTGCCAAATTCAAGCACGGGCCACCAACCATTAAACAGCTGAGAAAGGGTGGCCTGGATCAGCAAGAACACCATCAACTTTGCAGGGACTCCCTGGTTCCGAACAGATGCATTTTATTACATTCAGCTAGGGTGTATGGAAATACGCTGTGTAGGCTGGGTACAATGGCTCACGCCTATAATCCCAGCACTTTGAGAGGCCAAGGAGGGCAAATTTCTTGAACCCAGGAGTTCGAGAGCAGCCTAGGCAACATGGCAAAACCCTCTCTCTACTAAAAAATATATATATTTTTTTTAATTAGCAGGTTGTGGTGGCTCGTGCCTATAGTCCAGTTACTCAGGAGGCTGAGGTGGGAGGATCACCTGAGCCCAGATGTCAAGGCTGCAGTAAGCTGTGATAATGCCATTGCACTCTGTACCACCATGCCCAGCTTTTTTTTTTTTTTTTTTTCTTTTTGTAGAGACAAAGTCTCCCTATGTTGCCCAGGCAGGTCTGGAAGTCCTAGGCTCAAGTGATCCTCCCACTTCAGCCTCCCAAAGTGCTGGGATTACAGGCATGAGCCACTGTTCCTGGTCTGGGCTAGACATTTCTACAAACTTCACTGGCCCAGTGAGGGAGCATAAGTCTGTTCTACCCCTGAGGAATCTCGGGGAAGGAACCTACCTAAGATCATATGACTGGTCATCTGAGTGCTCACCCAGAACCTTCACCACCATCTTTCTGTCTGTAACATTTAATACTAAACTGTAGTCTATTTGCATGTCTCATGAATTAAAATTTACAGGGGACCTTCTCCTTGAGGTGTTCTACAAAATGGCTTCATTCCAGCTGCTCTTCAAATATTTTATATCTGTGATTTCCAAACCTTAAGTCAGAACACATTAATCTTCATAAAATCAATTTGTGGGGATTAAACAGCAACAGCATTAAACAACGACAAAGACATTTAAAAAGAAAAAATCTAGAAAATATTGGAGCACATAGTATGGCATAAGAGTAAAAATACGGCTTAGTGAAACTTTCTTGGGTTTATTTACATGTATGTGGGTACTCATTCAGAGTATAAACGTTTTTTACTGTGGGCCAGGGTAAAAAATGTTGTAGGCCACAACTTCACATCAGGAAAGGTTTCTTACATGTCAGAAATGGACTGCTGACAAAAACCTTCCTTCTAATCTCCTCCCACCCTCTCCTCAAGTATCTTCTCATGGAGCCCGGGTAGCTTAGCCCCAGTAAAGCGTTAATCTGAGGATCCAGGGTTCAACTACAGGCACTTAAAAAAAAAAAAAAATTCCGGCCGGGCGCGGTGGCTCAAGCCTGTAATCCCAGCACTTTGGGAGGCCGAGACGGGTGGATCACGAGGTCAGGAGATCGAGACCATCCTGGCTAACACGGTGAAACCCCGTCTCTACTAAAAAAATACAAAAAAACCTAGCCGGGCGAGGTGGCGAGTGCCTGTAGTCCCAGCTACTCGGGAGGCTGAGGCAGGAGAATGGCGTAAACCCGGGAGGCAGAGCTTGCAGTGAGCTGAGATCCGGCCACTGCACTCCAGCCTGGGTGACAGAGCGAGACTCCGTCTCAAAAAAAAAAAAAAAAAAAAAAAAAAAAAAAAAAAAAATTCCCTAGAGTACAGCTCTGAGTTCCCCAAAGGGTCTCACTCCACAATAGGCGTGGTAGAGGCAGAGAGCTTATGCCAGTAAGGGAGGCACCTCAGCCTCTCAGCCTCCTGCAGAAGGCTGGGCTTTCTCCACCGACACCTCCCTAAGCATTAAGCTCTGTCTCAGGCTTCTAGGCAGGCAAAAGAGAATGAAAGATGACAGCCCCACTGAAAGGAGCAATCAGGGGACAAGTCTTTAAAAATCTGCTATGGGAGGGCTCCCCTTCAACCTACCCAGGAAGTTGCTGTAGTGAGATGAAATGTACAAGAGGGCAGTTTGTTCTCATTTCAGGAAGGTTCCCTGAACACTGGCCAAGCGTGAGGCAGGGCTGCAGATACAAAGAAAAACGATTCATCTCCCAGCAATCAGAGGGGAATACAGACATGAGAAACTGGCAATTACCATGCACAGCCAGCTAGGTGTTCTAGGCACTGAGAGAGGCTCCCTGGAGGAGTAGTATCTGAGTCTTAAAGAAGAGGAGGCATGGACCAGATGAATGAGGGAAACGTTGTTCCAGGAAGAGATTTGCAAGTTCAGGAAACTGGAGGTTAGGGAATGCAGTTTGAAGGCAAGATGAGGCAACACTGTCCAGGGGCTTCCCCACACCATTTTTTTTTTTTTTTTTTTTGAGACAGAGTCTTGCTCTATTGCCCAGGCTAGAGTGCTGTGGCATGATCTCAGCTCACTGCAACCTCTGCCTCCCGGGTTCAAGCGATTCTCCTACCTCAGTCTTCAGAGTAGCTAGGATTACAGGCGCCTGACACCACACTCAGCTAATTTTTATATTTTTAGTAGACAGGGTTTTCACCATGTTAACCAGGCTGGTCTCGAACTCCTGACCTCAGGTAATCCATCTGCCCCAGCCTCCCAAAGTGCTGGGATAACAGGTGTGAACCACCTTGCCCGGCCCCCCACAGCATTTAGAATAAAATCCAAATGCCTTCTTCTCCCCCTCACCCATGCCTGGTTCATCTTCTCCACTTGTTCCCTCTCCTTCAGCAACACTGGCCTTCCAGAAGGTTCCTCACCTCAGGGTCTCACCTTGCTCTTCCCCCCACCTAAAAGAGCTCCTTCTCCAGTTCAGCCCAGCTGCAATGTCACCCCCACTGCTAAATCAGGCACTATCACTTCCTGGGCCATAACCCTGTGCCTTTTTAATAGTCCTTATTACTATTAATAGTCCATCTTTAGTACGTTTGTCTTCCTGTTTGTTTACTTGTTTTTTGTTTGTCTCTCTCACATATGCACAGGCAAAATATAAGGTAGCACATGGCATGAGTTCAATACATATCTTTGAAGAAATTGGTTGATGGAGAGGTGACTGGCTAGCTCAGGAGTGTGATGCTGGGATGTTTGGATTTTACCCTAAAGCATTGAGGAAATCCTCAGAATTTTTTAGGGGGGAGTGGGGGGACAGAGTCTTGCTCTGTCGCCCAGGCTAGAGTACAGTGGCGCAATCTTAGCTCACTGCAACCTCCACCTCCCAGGTTCAAGCAATTCTCCTGCCTCAGCCTCTCGAGTAGCTGGGATTACAGGCACGCACCAGCACGCCTGGCTAATTTTTGTATTTTTAGTAGAGACGAGGTTTCACCATGTTGGCCAGGGTGGTCTTGAACTCCTGACCTCATGATCCGCCAGCCTCCGCCTCCCAAAGTGCTGGGATTACAGGCGTGAGCCACCAAGCCCAGCCTGGAAATCACTAAGGATTTTAAGGGGAGATTAATGTGATTTACATTTCATTAAGTTCACTCCAGAAACACTCCCTTGCGGGAGCCAGGATGGAATTAGGAGGTTGTTCTAGAACATGAATGACAAAGAACTAAGGCACAGGCTGTGGAAACAGGCAGAAGAAACGGACTTGTGAGCTCAAATCCGTGTCACATTAGGCATGGCGGACAAAGGAGACAGAAGCCCTGGGTTCCTGACCTGGCAGCCCATTCACCAAGAAGGTTAGGGGGACGGAGCTGAAAAAGTATTTGAACTTGTTGAGTCTGAGGGGCTTGCTGGTCTGCAGCTTACGTTGGGAAAGGACCCAAGGCCTCAGAAGGGAGGTAAGAATGTGACAGGCTTGAAGCAGGGAATGGAGGCTGCTGAGCTAGCCCATGCCTGATGGTCCTTTTCCCCTGACCTCGTTGGGTGAAAGTGAGGGCATTATTTGAGGAGTTTTAGCCTTGGCCACAGCTCAAAAACTAACCCACTCCAACCTCTCATCAACCAGCGGTTGCCATTTACTGACTGCCTACATAGCACACAGTGTCATGTCTCAAGGTGGTAACACTCATCCTTTACAAATGTCAATGACGCCTCCCATGCAGGTACTCATCAATAGCCATGATGTTTCAGTCAAGCAGGCTGAGTAAGCTCTAGAGATCTGATATACAACAGGGTACCTACAATAGCATATTGTATGCTTAAAAACTTAAGGCAGATCTCATGTTAGGTGCTTTTACCATAATGACATTTTAAAAAACTGTCAAGACATAAAGTACTAATTCAAAGGTACTTAGGGAACATCCAGGCATTGAGAACCTTTATGTCTGTGGAATATTATAAGGCAACAAAGTGGTCTTTACCTGGGGATATATACATTATATATATAGCTCTGTGTGTGTGTGTGTATGGCCATGGATGATAACAGACTTCCTGATTGGTTTTCTTTTTCTTTTTCTTTTTTTCTTTTTTTGCGAGAGAGGGTCTCACTCTGTCACTCAGGCTAGAATTCAGTGAGTGGCTCAATCACAGCTCACTGCAGCCTGAAACTCCTGGGCTCAAGTGATCCTCCTGCCTCAGCCTCCCAAGTAGCGAGGACACACCACCTCCACCACACCTGGCTAATTTTTTATTTTTTAATTTTTTTTGGGGGGGGGGGGCGGTAGTTAGAAGCAGGGTCTCGCCATGTTGCCCAGGTTGGTCTTGAACACCTGGGCTCAAGTAATCCTCCCACCTTGGCATCCCAAAGTGTCGGGATTACAGGCATCAGCCACTGCACCTGACAACTTCTTGATTTAAATCTTTATTCTCTATATTCAGAAAACATCAATGTGGCCTTTTGCCATTTTTCCCATATGGGTTATTACACACATACTTGAAGAATAAAAAACAGTTGCCATTTGAAGGGGTATTAGGTATTGGTAAGCAACTTCTGCCTTTCTATAAAATTTTAATATTATATTCCAAAGGGGGCTGTATTCCTATTAGTCTAACATTTGGGCCCAATAGCCTGTGTAACACAAAGTACAGAAAAATATGAACACATGATTTTGCAGTTTGTAACTTAACAAAATTAAAATTGTTAAAACAAACTGAGGCCGCAGTGCTTACCCACAGCAAACACTCAATAGATGTTTGTTGAGATGATTACGTGAAAGTGACTGAGCAGAATTTGAGGCTAAATTAACTGAAGCTTTAAAAAGAAACTTCATGTCTGACTTTGGCCCAGATCAGCACTTGGAACTGGGTATCAAGAGGATCAGCTTTATGCCTAGGTGAAGGTTTATTTACTGTGGTCAGGGACACCAAATAGACCTCATATCTCCTACACTCGGTGCTATCAATACCCAGATTGCCCAAAGATCCCAGCCTTCAAACTGGACTGCTGTAGACCCCAGGAAATTCAATCACCCAAGGAACAGCACTATGGGGAGGGGTCATCAAATTGGGCCATATCAATCTTTAATACCTGAAGGCTAATCACTTAATCCGGAATTATCCAGTAACCAGCAGAGCCCTGTCAAAAACCAAGAGGACTTAGTAAATAGAAAAAGAAGAGAGAAAAAGGTGGATTAGTGCTTTGAGTACAACAGGGCTGCCTGGGGACCCCGCCTGACTGATCTGAGGGTTAGGAATGCTTACAACAAAGAAGAAACCAGAAATCAGGAAAATGGGAATTGAAAGCCAATATTCACCTCCTTACACAGCTCTTAACGTTGGCCCTGCCATCCTAAGCTCGAGGGTCTCTCCAGGAAGAATGAGATATCATATGAAACGCACTTCACAAATTCTAGTGCATTATCCGAATGAGAACTATTATAATTAAGGAGAGTTCTCTGAGAGGTAACATCTTTGAACAGGCTCAAAACAGGAAAATAAACTATTTAATGCAAGAATTAAGATAACATAGTGGCGAAGTGATGGCAAGTGGAATGGCTGAAAAAGCACGGTGTTAGTGTCAGACTAGGGTTCAAGTCCCAGCTCTTCATCTACTAGCTATGTGACCCCATACATGTCCCCTTGCCCATGAGCCTTCATTTCCTCCTCTATCAGCATACACATGGACATGCACACAGGCACACAAGGACACATACACAGGCACAGAAACACACACACTCACTCCCCTTCCTTTTTTCCCACTCCAAGCCTAGGCAACAAGAGGGTCTTCAGTGGAATGTGACTATAGTAAGAGGCTCATTCAACCTTAAGGGAAAATTAGAATTTCTTTGCTATTAGTATTCTGTGGGATCAACAAAGGCTTAAGCCTCTATGTGCTTACGGTTTTAGGAAGAGGCCTCTGGTGTGTTTCTATTTGCAACTTTCTCTGTGGCTCCTTTACATTTCTGGAGCTTATGTTGATCAATGGAACTACTTACACATTCAAGACCCAGGAGTTCAATAACAAATTCTAACCCAAGTGAGAATGAATCATATGAATAATAATACTACTACTAACAAGAGCTATGCAAAAATCATGAAGATTCACCGTCCATTTGATTAACTACTTAGCAGGGAAAATTAAATGCAAACAGAACACATATTTTTCAAAGGCATAAAGATTTTTGAAGGTGATTCTTTTATTTATGCATGAAAACTAAATCTTTATGAAATCCTCTCAAATCACACTGGCAGATAACTTAAAAACATGATAAATACCACATATGAATATTTCCTTAACATATGTATACAGTAGCAGTCCTAATGATAAGGGGAGTGCTGGGAAGGGAAGGGTGTGGTCCCTTTAAATGATTTGGAAGGGAGAAGGGAAGTGCCAGGTAGAGAGGAGGGTGTGGTCCCTGGCTAGGGCTGCACCCCGACAGGCCTAGGTGAGGTCAGGCATTTCCAGCCCAAATGTTGCAAGACCACCCTGGCCTGCCACATCCCCGTCCTGTGCCTATAAAAACCCAAGAGCCTAGCAAGGCAGACACAGAAGCAGCTGGACATCGAGAGAAGCACATCCGGGGAGGAACACACAAGCGGCTGGAAATCAAGAGGAGCGGATGGGTGGAAGAAGATTCAAGAGGCTAGACGTCGAGAGGACATTGGAAGCACACCAGGTTGGCCAGAGTAGTCAGAAAACAGGTGCCTGACTCCAGGGGAAAACCATCTCTCTTCTGGCTCCCCCATCTGCTGAGAGCTACTTCTACTCAATAAAGTCTTGCACTCATTCTCCAAGCCCAGGTGTGATCCGATTTTTCCGGTACTCCACGGCAAAAACCCAGGATACAGAAAGCACTCTGTCCTTGTGACAAGGTAGAGGGTCTGACTGAGCTGGTTAACACAAGCCCATAGACAGCAAAACTAAAAGAGCACCCTGTAACACATGCCCACTGGGGCTTCAGGAGCTGTAAACATCCACCCCTAGACACTGCCGTGGGGTTGGAACCCCACAGCCTGCCCATCTGTGTGCTCCCCTAGAGGTTTGAGGAGCGGAGCACTGAAGAATCACGCCAGACCCCCATCACACACCCTGCGAGGGGGACAAGGGAACTTTTCCCGTTTCACTAATATGTTCTGATTTACTAATGTGCCTTCTTACAAACTTTTTAACCATCACTTTGAGAGTGCACTAAGGTTGGCTTTATGCAGTCCTCTATTTTACACACTGAGAAACGGAGCCGAAGTCTTTCTCGGAGGACCACAAGAGGAGAAGGTCGACCAGCAAGCACCCTGGACCCTGTAGCCCAGAAGTGAAAAAACTTTTTGTCTTTTGAGTGTCACAGCAGAACTAGGAAAGGCCATTACAAGAGAGATCTAAGGCTATGGCACAGGAGGGAGAACAAAAATATTTTTAAAAAAAATTAAAGAATACCAAAAGAATAAAGGAGGTAGAGAAGAAAGAAAGAAGAGGCCTGGTGCGGTGGCTCATGCCTGTAATCCCAGCACTTTGGGAGGCCAAGGCAGGCAGATCACTTGAGGTCAGGAGTTCAAGACCAGCCTGGCCAAGATGGTGAAACCTCATCTCTACTAAAAATACAAAAGTTAGCTGGGTGTTGTGGTGGGCACCTGTAATCAATCCTACCTATTGGGGAGGCTGAGGCAGGAGAATCACATGTACCCAGAAGGTACAGGTTGCAGCGAGCTGAGATCGCGCCACTGCACTCCAGTGTGGGCAACAGAGTGAGGCTCCATCTCAAAAGAAGGAAAGAAAGAAGAAAATGAGCAGGAACGAAGTGGCTATGCTAAAAGTGAAACTGTCACCAGCATTTGCTATGGGCTGGGGGAGGATTGAATAACACGGGTGGTGAACTTGGGGCAGACTCGGTTATCTTTGAAAGACAAAAGATGATCTCTCAAACCCAAAGCCATCAGCTCTTATCCAGAACTTGTTGTTTGTTTCTGCCTCCTGTTTCCATTAGACTACCCTCTATCTAGTATTAAAATGGAAGAGATCACTAATAAAAGTAGAGAGTTAGTATTCTCTGATGCCCTGAATCACTGACACAGGTTTATAAAACGTCTGATATAAAAAGATACTCTCTAAATACAGGCATTCAAACAAGTATTTACCTAAAGTTTAACTTTGATCACATCATGTTAAACTATTCCATAGTTTCATGTGTTCCAACTCTTCCGTATTTCCAGGGCCAGAAGCAAATCCAAGAGACAAGCTGTGTCCAAAGCTGTAGTCAACCCAGCTCTTTTCCGATAAGGCAGAATTAGAAGAAAAGGGGCTTACATTTCAACACACTTGATCCTCTTCTAAACTTCGCTCACTTCTAGCCCATGATAGGGCAGTAGAAAAGTCCCCTGGTATCTCTGGGCCATAATTTCAGTATCAGTATAACCATTATCTCTACTTCCAAGGAACAATGAAAAGGTGAAGTCACTAATAATCTTTAAATATTTTAGGAAAAAGCCATGCAGTCATGCATGCCTATAATCGTAGCTACTTGGGAGGCTGAAGCAGGAGGATTGCTTGAGCCCACAAGTCCGAGACCAGCGTAGGCAACATAGAGAGACCCAGTCCCTTCCCCACAAAAAGCTGACATTAATGAACCAATGATTAATATATATGAATTGCTGGATTCACCCCATCTACATCCTTCAGGAAGGAAGACCCTGGATCTTTCATGCCTCCAGAAACCTACACACAGTCACTTCTTCAGACCCTAACGGTGTGCACAGGCTGCTATGAAGACAAAGACTGAACTTCACCGGACTGTGGGTGAACAGCTACGTTAAGCCAAGTTTCTCCTAAAAAATGGGAGGGGTTTTGGGGGGAAAACAATTTTACTTTCTGATTAAATATGATCTTGTAATTGCTTTCCTTGTTATTACAATTTTTAAAGCACAGTGATTTATTAAAAGATTTAAAGTCCATGAATCTAAAAATAATCATTATTTTTGGTGCAATTGTTTTTAACGGCCTAACCATTGCCTCCCCTCTGGGAGTTTTATCTGGAGTGTGGGGATTGAAGGTGAGACTCACCTTACCTGTAATTAACTACCATGAAAGCAAGGTTGAGGAGGTGCCCAAATCTGCCCTAACAGAACTAATGTGCCTGAGAACACTTTTGTTATTCATGAATAAAATATGGAGTGGAAGCCAGAGAAGTGCAATTTAAGTCTCACCTTAGTTGCCCTATGTTTTCAAACTTAGTACAATGTGGTAAAACTTACAAGGCGCACTCGGTTTAAAAATAAGATCAGAGGTTCCTTTATAAGTCCCACAGACTGAGGGAAATGAAAACTGCTTTACATAGCCACCTTCAGTCCGCTTCTCTTGCACAGCTCCTGATAAATTGCTTTGCAACTTAACTGGCAAGACTAGTTGGTCCCACATCCCACCCTCAGCCTCCCACCTGCCAGGGTAGATTTCTGAACTTAGTGGGAAAAGCCCCAGGTCTCCACTAAGTGCAGGCACTAAACCAAGCTAGGAAGGGGAAAGGGGAGAGGGGTCCATTACAGAAATGCTTTGCTAGTGGTTCAAAGTATATCTTTTCTCAGAATAGGTCCTTTTTTTTCCCTACATTCTACTTCTTAAGTTTGAGAGTAGGTAAATGTAAATTTTTTTTTTTTTTTTGAGATGGAGTCTTGCTCTGTTGCCCAGGCTGGAGTGCAATGGCGCAATCTCGGCTCACTGCAACCTCCGCCTGCCAGGTTCAAGCAATTCACCTGCCTCAGCCTCCTGAGTAACTGGGATTACAGGCGCGCACCACCACGGCTGGCTAATTTTTTTTTTTTTTTGTATTTTTTTTTTTTTTTTTAAGTAGAGATGGGGTTTCACCGGTAAATGTAAATTTTACCAAAAATAAAACAAGATTATAATGCAACACGTGAATCAGCCTTTTGAAGCGCACAGGAAGGGAAGTCACAAATCCCAACCTCCCCCTCCCAAACCCCACTCCCCAGACCATATCAGCTGGCCTGACAGCCATCAGGAACAGTCCTCGCTGGAATTGCTGACTGAGGAGCCTGTCTGCCACTAGAGAGCAAATGTTCTGACAGAGATTCTGCATCAAGGCCTAAACCCGAAAGTCAAAGCCAGGAAAATCTGGAAAGAACAGAGGTCAAAATATAATGGAGGAAATCTGAGCAGACCACCTATCCACAGCAGGCCCAGGTGGACAGAAACCAGGCTTAAGCAAAGTTTGCCGAGCAAACATGTTGCTTTTCTCACAATATAAATACATTTAATCCTTTTATAGCAAGATCCCAAGCTGATCCCAAGAGCTCATTCAGAAGGATTTTATTATGCAAGTCACCAAAAATCAGTTACAGGCAAGTTTGCCTTTAGGTTAACAGCTAAGGAGCCTGGAAGTCTGGGCTCTGGGAAAGCCCTTTGTTCCAGGAATCCCGTCCCTCAAGCAGGGCTTTAATTTCACTTCAATTTCAAGTCCCCAAATCAAATTTTAAAAGTGCCCACTTAAAGAACTGCGGAATAAACGAGGGGTCCAGTACTTTTTCTGGACCCTCCAGGCCTCAGGACAGTATCAAATTACAGGGCTTTCCCTCCTGGATATGGCCCCTCCACCCCCCACTGTTTTTCTTTTTTAAAAAAGAGAATCCCACACACACCCTACTGTGTCCACCATTTCAAATACCTTGCTAATACATCCCTATTCTGCATCTCTCTGGAGTCTTCTAAGAATCTGGGAGGAGCTAACAACGGAATTTGAATAATAATGAGGCGACTGAACAATTTAATTACGGAAGGTAGCTCTAGAGACTCCAATAAAAGGGCTGAAAGGCTTTATCTACAAAAATGTGGCCTGGTGCTCAACGGTAAGACCAATTACCGGGAGTGCAGAAGACAGAAAGCACAAAGGTGCACACATCAGTTTAAGCAAATGAGGAATCAGCACAAATCATCCAAGAGAGAAAACACTATGAAAAAGTGTTTTCATAGTGGGAAGGCTGCTTTCTCATCTACCAGGTGCAAGGCATAGTGTTAACTTTATTTCCTTTCTGATTCATTGAAAGTCGTGCCTGCCAGATGTAGAATACTGAAACTACCCTCGTGAGAAAAGCTTTGTATAGAGAATTTAAAATAAGTTCAGTGAATTCTCAATAAAAGTTCTTTAAAAATCAATAGTCACAAAGGTACTTGTATCTCTCACACGATTTCTTCAGTGTGAAACATTAAAGTTAGTTCCTTCTCTTGGATGCATACAAGTTTCACTAAGAATAACATCATGTTTAACAGTCGCTTTCTATTGACCTTTCCAAGTGACCTTACAATAAAGGAACTTTTGCTCACTTCTGAGGGAAACTAAAAAAAGTTTAACCTTTCTGGAATACCAAAAGGCTCTCAACTTCCTTAGACCTTAAGAAAACGCAGGAAGCCCCCACAAGCTGAACGATTGCTAAAACCCGCTTCTAGAACAGGAAAAAGAGTTTGCTTCAATGGCAAAGAATTCCCCCGCCGCGCGCTCCCTCCCGGGCAGGCACTGCCATGTCCAGGTGGTGATACCGAGAGCAGATAAGGTGTCCTGACAACGGTGTTTGCGTGGATCCCGGGAAACCTGCGGCCACTCGGCGACTCCCAGAACAGCTTGGCGAGCATCCCCCCGCCGCCCCGCGGGTCTCCCCAGCCAACACCTGGGTGGACCCCTCCTGCGGCGACGCGGGGCGAGACTGACACCCGCAGCTGCCGACGACCCTGCCAGTCACGCTGCCGCCGGCTGCCTTTTTTTAGCCACGACATCTGACCCTGGCTTCAACAGCACCGTTAAGGGAGAGAGGTCCCAGGACGCGCCCGTGGTCCCCTCCCCTCCCCAACCGCCAGACGCTGCGGAGAACTTGGGGTGAGGGGCGCGGGAGGCACCGGCTCTGAAAGGGGCAGAAGCGCGCGCTCCTCCGGCCCAGACGCTTCCTCCCTCCTTCCCCTTTTCCACCGATCCTGGTTGCCCCTCCGCCACCAGCACCGCGCTCCCTCATTTGGCAGCTCGAGGTCATGCTTCTGGCGTCCCTCCCCACCCCAACCCCTCAACTCCGCTCCCCTGGACCCCCTCCAAGTCTGTGACCAGCGCACTGCCGGGCTGGGGCGGGAAGATGCCAAGAGGAGGAAAGGGGCGCGAGCCGAGGACGCGGGGAGGGGGGGCGCTCACCTCCCTCCTCTGTGCCGCTGTCCGGATCCGCGTCCGAGGAGTCGGGCCCGTCTCCGTAGTCCGCTAGCCCCACCAGCTCATCCTCCTCCTCCTCCTCCTCCGCGTCGTCCTCGTCCTGCGGCTGCGGCTTCCCCAGCACCTGGCTCATCGCGCCCACCGGCTGGCCGGCCCGGGGACGGCGGGGGTCCCGGGGTGGGGGCCAAGCCTCCTAGCCGGCCGGCCGCAGCCTATTTCTGAAGCGGAGGTTTGTCTAGAGCTCGGCGGGGGCCGGCGGAAGCGGGGGCCGCGCGTCCCCCAGCGGGCGGCGCCCAGGTCCGGGTCCCGCGGTTCCCAGCGCGCCCGAAGCCCCCTCCCCCGCCCCGCCTGCCGGCGGAGGAGTCAGCCGGAGCGCGGCAGTTCCTCCCCGAGGAGAGAGAGAGAGAGACTGCGTGACCCGAGTCACCTGACACACACTGTCACACACTCACATACACACCCCGCACGGGCGCGCGCCCGCCCGGCCGCGGGCACCACTCGGCGGGGCGCTGGGCCGAGGACACACACACACACGCACGAGGAGAGCAGGGAGGCGCGGGGCCCCTGCACCCTCCCAGACACTCACACGTAGACACACGCCCAGTACACGGGGCCCCCGGGACGCCGCGCCGTCACCCACCGCGGCTGCGCGCCAGGGGCCCCCACGCGCCGCTTCTTCACGTGGTCCCCGCACAGGCGGGGGAGGGGGCGCCGCACACCCTGAATGTCCCCCCGTCGTCCCACTCCCACACGCACACACATCCGCAGAGCCCATACCGTGGGCGGATGCCTCCTGCTTACAGTCCCGAGCTAGGGTCCCAAGTGGGTGGCCTCCCAACACTGTGGCGCGCCCAGATCCCCCACCCCAGAGCAGCGTGCCCAGGACACCTTGTGGACGCTCAAGAGCCCCAGGCGGAGAACTCAGATAAATGCACAGTGGAGGCGCAGTCTCCATAGCAATTGTCTTTTAGTGTGCCTTTATGGTTCAAAGTGCTTCCCACCAAGAATATTCAAAAAGCAGGCCTACCCAGATGTAAATGTTTCTGAAGAAATCACATGACTCCTGGCTGCTTAGACTAAATAATTCCTCTGCAGCTTTTTGGAAAAGGTCTCAGTGTATAACACACTCAGGGGCTATTCATGGCCACCTCCTCATGTCTCATTGTTGCATAGACTGTAATCCCACATAAATAAAATATTTCAAGGCTTTTGTGGGAGTAGGGGAGTGGCGGTGGTGGGGGGGCAATTCTCAAATAGGAATAGCAGCAACGTGGAGTGAGACTCTAAAACCTGCATTCCTCCTTCACAAGCTTTTCACCACGGAACACACTGTACCTACCCTTTCTGGGTACTGCAAAAAATCACGTGGATGAACTTCCTTCTGTGGAGTACAATAAGAAAAAACCGGCTGGTCAGCATGATGATCCAGCTCCTACAGGTACCAGCAGCTCAGCCGGTGGAGCAGTGCAGAACCGGCGGGAAGAAGCTCGGGCAGGAGACTCTCGGGGGCCCAAGGGTGCTAACCTCCATACGAAACATTTATTAACCACTTCCTATATGCCTGGGGCTGGGCTAAGTAGGGGGTCCAAGAATGCTCAGGGCCGTGTTCCTGCCCTGAAAGAGCTCGCAGTCTACCAAATCATGACTCATGTCCTGGATTTTTTTAATTTCTGAGTGTAGAAAGTGGATGCAGACACTTTCCAGAAGGTGGCTGCTTCTAATTGGAAAGGTCCTGAGATTTTCCAAGGGAGGCAGCCAC